TTTAAGTCATTTTAAAGGCTATTGTTCACGTAGGTCTATTTTTATTGCTACAAAAAAGTAATTATAATTATCTGATTACTCGATTAATCATCAGAATAATCGTCAGATTACTCGATTACCAAAATAATCGTTAGTGACGGCCCTAATTGTGTGTGTCACAGTGTATCCGGTGAAGCGCAGAAACAGGCACAGTGTGGCGGGGCCACAGTTCATGGGGGGCCGTGCGGGGCCGGTGGAAAGGGCCCCTGTGAGGAGGAGTAACACAATGCCGCCTAACCTGGGCAAAGCTTCCATAGAGGAGAGGGTGACAGGTCTGCCTTTGTCTATAGTTCCTTTTAGTATTCTATTCTACTCTAATTTACTTTTCCCTATTCAATTCTGTTCCACTCAGATTGCCTCTGCTATTCTACTTCATTGCATTCTACTTTACTTAATTCTGTTCTATTATATTCTACTCAGGTTTTCTTTTGGCAATTGTATTCTTTTCTATTATGAAAGTTTACTTTGGTACGAACTATTCTATTTTGTTTATTTTCTGTTATATTTGCACTCTTATATACTCTGATTTATTGTTTTGTTTTATTTTTATTCTACTCAGTTCTGCTCTATTCTATTGTACTTGTTTCAACTTATTTCTACTGATTTATTCTGTTCTTTTGAATACTATTACTCAGTTATTATCTGCTTGCTTCTGTTCTGTTTTACGCCGTTCCTATTCATTTCTATTCTATTTTACTCCGTTTCAGTATGGTTTATTCTATTCTGCTCCATTTTAGTCTGATAGTTTCTACTGTGGTGTATTCTATGTTATTCTGTTTTACTCTACTAAGTTGTTCTCTCATCTGATTAGTTCCATTCTATTCAATTTTGTTCTACTCTGTTTTATTGTACTCAGATTGTATTATACTCAGTTCTACCCTTCTCAACTCTGGTTTATTTTATTCTGTTTTATCCTATTCCATTTTATTTTACTCCCTTCAACTCTAGATTATTTTATTCTGTTTAACTCTAATCATAGCTACTCTAATTTACTCTATTGTACTCAACTAATTTCTACTCTGATTTGTTTTATTCTATTTTATTTCACTCAGTGGTACTCGGTTACTAATTTCCTCTCTGGTTTATTCTGTTCTGTTTCAGTTCTGCTCTACTCAGTTCAATTCTGTTTTATTCAGTTCATTTCAGCTCTAGTTTGTTCTATTCTGTTCTGTTTTACTCAGATAATTTTTGCCATGATTAGTTATATTTCACTGTTCTACTCTACTAATTTCTACTCTGATTTTTCTATTGTACTGTGGTTAATTCCATTCTATTTCCTTCTATTTTACGCCGTTCTACTTGTTTCTATTCCTGTTCATTTTGTTCTGTTCTATTTTAATCAATTCTACTCATTTCTTGTCTGGTTTATTATTTTTCTGTGTTTTTTTACTTTGTTTCACTCTAGTTCTCTTGGGTGCATCTTTAGTTTACTCCTTCTGTTTTCAGTTTAAAATAGTAATTATTAATACTTTCTTGAATCGTGTGATCCGTGTTGTTTAGGTCCGATCGCTGATCCAGGCATGGTCAGAATCATATGCGGTCATCATAACTGGATTGCTGTGGCTTATGCCCAGTTTGTGGTCTGTTACAGGTAGGGTTCCTCTTTGAATGACACGTATAGTAATGATTGGGACTTACATGTGTGACTCTTTTTTCTGTTTCTTGTGCTCAGGGTTAAAGAGTCGAGTGGATGGCAGCAGGTGTTCACCAGCCCTCGGCTGGACTGGGTGATTGACAGGGTGGCTCTTAACGCCAAAGTCATGGGCGGTTCTCTAGGGGACAATGATAAGATGGTTGCCGTTGCATCGGGCACAGAAATCATACTGTGGGCAATCTGTCCCGATGGAAATGGCAATGAAATTGGTAAGCTCTCGTTTCATGTAATGCTTTTGGATCTTTCACAAATGTTTGGAAACCAGAGTTCTTGTTTGTTCTGAACCGCAGGTGTGTTCAGTTTGAATGTGCCGGTGGAGGCTTTGTTCTTCGTTGGAAACCAGCTCATCGCCACCAGCCACACGGGTAAAGTGGGAGTGTGGAACGCAGTCACTAAACACTGGCAGGTAACGAGCGCTGACAGATGCATGGCCATTGGTGATTAATTTCTGCATTTGTTCCGGTGTCACAATTTAAATGAAATCGATTTCTTAATATCGAAACAAGTAGAAGTGTTCACTTCCTGAGTTCTTCACCTCTCTTTATGCAGAACCAGGATGTGGTTCCCATCAACAGTTATGACACAGCCGGATCGTTCCTCATTTTGGGATGTAATAATGGATCTATTTACTATATAGGTAAAGTGATAATCAGTCATATATTTTATGTTTTGATTTTGGTCTATAAAGTTGCAAATAAAAAAGTAGCTTTAGTTTTAAAGTATTTAATTCATGGATAATGGTGTTGCCATGCAGTTCTAAAAATATAAACCATTTATTTATATTTATTGTTGAATTTCCAGCTAAAATAATCATTTTATTTGATTGCTGTTAATGTTATTTCTAATTGCTTGAGCTGTTCTAAAACATTTTTTTGGATACATTCAAAAAAATTCCTGTGCATCGATGATCCTTGAGCGGGTTGATCACGCTGATCACGACACGCTGTGCATTTCTGTGTCTTTCAGATGTCCAGAAGTTTCCGTTGAGGATGAAGGATAACGATCTGCTGGTGACTGAGCTGTATCGAGATCCCAGTGAAGATGCTATTACTGCTCTAAGTGTCTACCTGACGCCCAAAACAAGTAACGCCAGCCTGTCATCTCACAGTGTCATAGCACATAGCGCTAAACCATATTCAACTAGTACTAAACTATTAGCACTCCAGTTGATCACACAGTTACGAAAAATACATACACTTTAGCATACTTTAAAAAAAAAAAGAGAACTTATTAACTTTAATGTGATTTCTATTAAACCTTGTATGCGTGTGCTCTTGTGTTTGTTCAGGTGACAGTGGGAACTGGATCGAGATTGCGTATGGCACTAGTTCAGGCACGGTGCGTGTCATAGTGCAGCATCCAGAGACGGTGGGATCCGGTCCACAGCTCTTCCAGACCTTCTCCGTTCACCGCAGCCCTGTTACCAAGATCATGCTGTCTGAGAAACATCTCATCTCTGGTAAAGAGGGTTTCTTTCTTGTACTCGTTGCTCATTTACGTGCAGAGTATCGTGGGGAACACAATTCTGAGATCAATAGTAAAAAT